CCCCAAAACCCCAAAACCCCAAAACCCCAAAACCCCAAAACCCCAAAACCCCAAAACCCCAGTTTATCTCCTGCTAATTGTAAATAACATATAATAATTATAATGAGTAATAAAAATGGTGAAGCTCCTCCTGCTGCCAAGGAGGAGACAAAGGTGCATCATGAGCAGAATCATGCTGACTATACAAGATATAACAAAGATTTTGATTCTCCTTACAGTATTTATATGACCCAATCAGAAAATAACATGAATCAATTTGGTCCAGGAACTGGAAGTTATGGGACTCAAAACTATAGTTTACCTCCTCAGAACAATAATTACGGACAAGGGGTACCTCAATATTATCAGAATCAAGCTCCTCCTCCTCAGTATAACTACCAAAGTAAGGACTCAAATTTTATGATGTCTTACAAGAATCTAATCTAAATATGATTTTCACTAGATACTCAACAACAAATGCCTCCCCAAAATGCATTCAATGCACCAAATGCATCTCAGCAGCAACAGGTAGCTGCTCCAGCTCAAACTCCAATGAGCCAGGCTGAGCAGAATACTCCACAGAGTTTCCAACAGACAAATCAGCAACAACAAGAGTAAGTTTTTGCGATTTTGCAAATGTATGACTGACATTATTTTACAGCCAAGCAATCCCTCAGCAGCCTCAAAAAGTACTTTATCAACAATATCAGGGCCAGATTCCAACTCAGCAGTACCAAGGCCAGGTACCTCCTCAGCAGTATGGCGGCTACCAAGGGCAGCCACAATACCAGAACATGTATGGGAATCCCCCGATGCATCAAAGAGATATGACAGGAACTGACCAAGAACGAAAGAGTGCCATTCATCAGATCATTCTCAAAGATACATCCTGGATGGATCCACAGGATAGAGACTCATACTTTACATGGGGAAATATCTCAGGAATTTCTACATTCGGAGTTTTAGGATGTCTCTGTGCTCCTATCGCTATATATCTGAAAAAGTCCTTTTCTATGGCTGATAAAATGAAATATCTCAGATACTCACTCGCAATTCAATTCGGTATCGGAGCTGTCTTCGCTTATTCAAGCTATAAAGTTGGAGAAGTCTTAAAAACAGTAGACAGAAATTATTTCTCAGAATATAACTTAGAACAAATTAAAGCTTATCAACCAAACAGATGGATGAATGCTCCTCCTCCCCCGGTGAACTCGACCGGCCAGGTGCTTGCAGGGATGAACAGACAGCCATTTGGAGGAAATCAACAGTATTACTACCAAAATCAGCAAGCATACACTAACAATGTACCTCAGAATACAAACATAGGGGCTCCTTCTCAGAAGAATCAGAGTGAGCAAAATGAAGTAAATCAAGATAATTCTTCACCTAAAAGTGAGTAAATAGCCTAAGCTGAAATTTTGATTAGATTCTTGATTCTAGTTTCAACTAAACCCCCTTAACTTGGGGTTTTGGGGTTTTGGGGTTTTGGGGTTTTGGGG